AATCAGAGAGAAAAAAAACGTCACATTTCTACACACAAACCCTCAGATCTTGCATAGACCTTAAAAAACAAACCACTGGAAAGCCAAAACAGTCGACACTTTCTTTATTAAGGACATGCTTTTTTCCATCCTTTGTTTACAGTTCATTTCCAACAAAGTGCTCAGAGCCTACAAGATCTATGCCACTGCCTTAGAACCATGGCAAGCATTCTGGGCCAGCACATATGTATTTGTACATGTGCACACACTCACACCCTCACCCAGATTCTCACAAAGCAGTCCAACAAACACTTGGGGAATACTACCCAGGCAGCCAAGTAGATACTTAAGTTCGAAAAGCACATTCCCCCTTCAGAACAAAGGGGCAAGAAGTCACGTGGTGGGATCTGTTTAAGGACTGAATGACTAGTGCTGACACTATGAGGAAAAGGATACACATTAAGTTAAATTCTCCTAATAGTTATAGGCAGCAGACTCAAGTGGAGAGCCATTTTGTGTGGCAAACACACGGCTCATGTTAATGTGAAGGGCATGTATGTATCACCCACCAACATCCAAAATGTATTCTGAAGGACTTCTGTGCTAACTTTTAAAGCAACAGTGTGTCACCAGCAGAGCAGCTGTTGGTCCCTCTGTTAGGAAGATTTTGGAATCAAATCTGTTGGAAGGACTAAACATATTAGAAACGAACCCGTAGAGCAATGTTCTACAATCAAAGTCAGACCCACATACCAGTTCAGAGAGCAACCCTCCCCCATCTTAACTTGAATCTCATGTGAGACAGACGATCTCACCTCAGAGCATCAGGGCTAGACCTATTACAAATAACATCTTTTAAACTGTCAGATCTCTCAGCATTAATCTCTGGAAGGGGCAGTAAAATGCAAATGCATAACAAACCTTAAATAAAGATGGGTAAAAGCGTTTATCTTTTAGAAGGCAGATGCCAAAGTAGCAGAGCGACTTAAAAAGATGATTATAAAATACATTTTATATCAGAAGAGCATAACAATAGTAATAGTAATAGCAAAGAATAATAAATGTGCAAAATACAATAGAGACTTACCAAACACTGAATTCATGATAAACTGGAAATAGAAACAAGGACATATAAAGCCAACCAGAAATCCACGGAATGGCTTCACATTCAGAATGACAGAAGTAAATAAGAGACATACCCCCACCGTGCCATAAAAAAAGGTATAAGAAATGTACAGCACTTTCTCAACATTTCCCATGTGACACACAGACTGGAAGTGCTTTCAGGCAGAATTGGCTGCTCTTTTTCTAGTCTTTGTATCTGCCCCAGAACCAGGCACAGGGCCAGGCACATAGTTGACAGGCAGTAAGCACATGCTATGGAATATTCATTGGTATCCACCAAAGGAAGGAACAATGTCCAAAATCACAGGTAGCAGGAAGGGGTCAGAGAGAGGCAGAGATGCATCTTCCCCACATGGCCTGTTAACAATGCAAACTAGAACCCTGGTCTTCAGAATGGCCAGTGGGGTATAGATAGATTACATCCTGGATACTTAACCAATCACATGGATAAAGTTGATCAGGAAATTCTTCTAAGGACAAAACCAACTAATTTTTTAATTGGTTTTTAATTCAAGCAGAAAAGAATGTATATTCAAATGGACAAAATCCACTACTCATTTTCAAGAACATATTTAGGATATTTGTTAATAACTTTCACAACTTCCATCTTATTCAATTTTGCTTCTAAACACATGGTTTGAAGACTTTAAAAAAAAAATTTCTCTACATATCAATGTTCCAATTTGGGAGCCCATCATTCTCCTACATGGGTTTAATGACAGAAGAAACAAAAGAATTAAGTCATTCTCAGAAGAAAACAGACAACTCTTTTCTGTCTGGTTCATGAGAATGGCTCTGAGGAGATTTTTCACATTTTCTGTCTACAATTCATCAACGTACTGGAATCTGGGACAACTTTAAGATATAAAATATCCATGCTGCAAGTTGACATGAAAAATGACTTCTTATTCCTTGGGAAAGGCTTGTTTGTTTCAAACAGGAAGATCCTCCGGTGTGACCACAGGTGGGAATAGGCACAAGTGCCCCTGGGGTTCTAACGCCCTGAATGTATAGCTGATGACTGCCAAGCCATCTGGGAGGACCTGCTTTCCCTCTCAATTTCAGTCACATTTTTTTCTCAAATGAAAAGCCTGTGGAGTCATTCCAGTACTTGCCTAAATCAACTCTAGTAATCTGAACTGAAAACTGAAACTACTCATCCCCCCAACTAATGTTTCTGTGGTCCTAGCCTCTTCTCAAGGCTATGAATAAATAGTTTTCTTCAAATCCAAAGTATTTTCTGACCTTCTGCCGGTGTCTGGAGAGGGTGAGCTCATCCCAGACCCTGAGGTACCACAACCTGTTTGCAATTGCCGCAAAGTGAAGCATGTCACAAAATGTAAAAACAGCTGAACACAATTGGGCAAACTTCTTTGGCCAAATCACTCTCAAATCCCGGCCCCAGTGAAGTGGTTCCTTTTCAGAGTCAGGTTAGAAATAGATGTCACTCGTTCTTTATTAAGCCAGTTCCAAGTCTGTATCAAATGACAAGACTTGTATAAAGAAGAGCCATCTCGATAAAACTGAAGGAAAAGAAATTATGTTTATTCATTAAATTCTCACAGGGTCCAAAGCCAAATGATAAGGGACTCATATACTCTAAGATATGTCCCACATTAATGAATCAAAACAGGCTAATAAACCCTGAGAACAATTTCCCTCCCTAACAGTTATAAGAATGCTAATAGACCAAAACATTTATAAGGTTTCTAGGGACAAAGCTTGATAGAAATAAAGGGGAGAGGGTAAACGTCACTCATTTAACTCATAAAGCTTTAAAAATTATTTGGATGAAGTATTTACCAGGAACTAGAATCACCCCACAGATTTAGTCTCTGATCCTTTTTTAAGGGGGAAAAAAGTGTTTTTTCATTGATTTTGGGTGGGAAAAATGTAGCTTTTGAATTCAATACAATGAACTATTTATCTGGTCTGACAAGGCCAATCAATCTCCCCCCTCCCGCTGTTTATTATAAGGAGTAGTAGAATACTGTTAGTCTTGATGGGGTGGGGGAGGGCCTACAGTCCTGGTACACAATGCTTCCCTTCAGCTGGGAATTTATGTTTGGCCCAGGTGACCCAGAAGGTCAGTGTGAAGCCTGGGACAGAATGAAGATGGGTTGTTATAGGCTTCATATTTACAGAACACCTCCGTGTGTTCAGGTCTCACAGCCACTGGCATATTTAGTATTAAAAGGCCTAAGAGTAGATAAAAGGTTTGTCTTAATTCAGCTTCAGGTTTAAAGTAGAAGACTTTTAAAAAGGAATGTAAATGGAGTAAGCCATCCCATTGAATTTCATTTTTTCTGGTGAATAAAAAATTCCATTAGGGAAACTCAAAGGTCAGATTTTCAGTTGTAAAGAAACAATTATCTGAAAAGTTCTATTCCTTCGTTGATTTAAAGTTCTCAGGTAATTTTACTGAACTCATCCAGATAATTACCTTCATTCCTTACCTTAATTAATTCCTCTCTTGTGAAATTAATTAATTACTTTAAATCTCTTATTGACTTTACAAAAACAGGGTTGGCTGGAGAGGCCTTGCTACTGGTCACTGTGCATGTGAATGCTGGGCCCACTGACCTGAGAAGAGCCAGAGGAAGGGGACAGCTCAGCAGCCAGGGAGGTTTGGCAATGCAGGAAGGAGCCTCACTGAAGTCTAGCTCTCAAATCCAATGAGTCTCAGGCCTTTGGGAACTTATTTGAAAGGCTGCAGGAAGCACTTTGAGGGAAAACTAGTTTTACAGCAATGTATGTTAAGTTCTTAAAATGGGAAGCCTCCCGCCCCAACTTTAGTAGGATGGGGTTTTTAAAAAAGAAGAGAAAAGGAAAAGAAAGAAAATCCTATAGCTGCTAACCAACGTGGGCCTCCAGCCAATATTTCATCTAAATAATTCAAAAAAGGAAATGTAACCCAGGGCAGCTGGAGGGGGGCAGAGGAAAAGACAGGAAGGAAGACAGACACAAAGCTAATGTTTCCAGTGCTATGATCAATGGGCAGTTTATTGGACAAATTCTTATACTGTCTAAATTTTATGAAAGATTAGCTGTTCTTCCCCATAGTTATGTAAACTTGCCTTCTTTTTTCTTGTTAATGGACCCCTTTGCTAGTACATTTCCTGCTCCTGCTATTGAACAGCTCTCTGTTTCCCTTTAAGGAAATAATAAGCCTGGGAAAAGTTGGCAGCTGAATGCTGACCTACTATGGGCACACTGAGCTCAGCTCCAATCTGTGTATGCACTGGCTGGTCCAAGGTCAGGAAACATGGGAGAAAATCTAGTGTGTCCACAGTACAGAATTGAGCAGGGCCATTTCTGCAGTCTTATAGTCTCTCCTGCATTGTTTCAAACACTTATTACCCGGGGAAGATGTGGGAGAAAACAACAGGCTGATACTTAAAGTTAACAAGATTGTTAAAGGTTTCTGTGGAAATGGATATATTAGCCATATCTTCATACATTCTGCCTCATTATCCCAGAGAGGCAGACCAGGTGTTTGGGAGCTCAGCAGTTAGAGAAAGACCCTGATAGCATTTGCCTTAAATTAAAAGAAGAGCATTGTCAAGACACACACAGCTCAGCCTGCACATTACCATTCTCTAAATTCGCCTTGCATCCATAAAAATAGATGTGAAAGCAGAAGCTAAAACCCTAAGGAAAAAAACAATCATCATTTACAAATTCTGTCAACTTCCTGACTGTCAAAAAAGCATTTGTATTAGTTGCCTTTATTATAGCTACTAGTTACTACCCATATAGAGTGTCCAAGATTTATACCTAAAACCAAAAGAGAAAAAGTTCAATTTTTCAGCAATGCAAAATTTGACACAGTTCACCCAGAAGTCTCCAGGTTTTGTTTGTGCGCAGGGAAGGGGGCTCTTTCTCCTTTACCATACCTCGCTTATTGGTTCTTAAAATTGTTTCAGAAGACAGCAAAGAGTTTCCACTGGACACATCGTGCATGGGCTTTTCCGGAGCTTTGTTGGAGAGAGGGTCTTTCTTCATATCTTTCTTTATTTCCTGTGAGGATAGATGAGGAGAAAACAAGATTGTAGTTTGAAATTTTGGGGTGCCTCTTTGACTGTATTAAGCTTCATCTTTCTGGAAACTGAACTATAGTAATGCCAAATCAGATCTAATCCTATTAAGTGGAATAATGCTCGGCATGGTGAGGTGACCATTCCATGCGGTCATTTCATGTGACCATCAAGAGAATGACTGATATATAAAAGCCACTAAAGAGCTTTAAATGACAGTTTGTTCTACTTACTGAACAATGATAAGTTTTGGATAAACAGATTCACCCCTTTAAAAGCTTTCTGATTTCTATTCTTCTCAACCAGGGCTTAGAGAACTGTATTCCCAAATCACCATTGTGCTCACAATTATACTAAACCCAAAAGATTATTTAAATTCGTTTACAGCCATCAAGTTCCTCTGGCTTTTCAGCTTCTGACAAAGACAAAAATAAGGATGACAGACTAAAATAAGGACTATCATTCTCAGCCAAGGTTCAGCAGCCCACCACCCTATTTTGTAAATAAAATTTCATTGGAACACGACCACATTCATGCATATTTTTTTTTTTAAAGAGAGAGTGAGAGAGGAGAGAGAGAGAGAGGATTTTTAATATTTATTTTTTAGTTCTTGGCGGACACAACATCCTTGTTGGTATGCGGTGCTGGGGATCGAACCCGGGCCGCACGCATGCCAGGCGAGCGCGCTACCGCTGAGCCACATCCCCAGCCCCATGCATATTTTGTATGGCTAGTTTAGTGCAATAACGGCAGAGTTGAGTAGTTGCAACAGAGACCAAAATCGAACATATCTGACGTTTTAGAGAAGAAGTTTGCCCAGTCTCGGTGGATGCTTATCAAAGTTTCATTAAGATCTGCATTTTTAAAATCTGGTGGCTGATATAATTATCGGTTGAGCATCTCTAATCCAAAAATCCCAAATCCAAATTGCTCCATTCTAAAACTTTTGAGTAGACATGACAATCACAAGTGAAAATTCTACACCTGACTTCCAATGATGGGTCACACTCAAAATGCAGGAGCACTAAAAACACTGCATAAAATTACCTTTAAGTTATGTGTATATGAATTCTGTGCTTAGACTTTGGTGCATCACCAAGATATGGCATTACATAAATGCAAATATTCCAAAAAAAATTTAGATCCTAAATTCAAAACACTGCTAACCCCAAACGAGTTGATAAGGGATACTCAATCTTTATTTCAAATTACTTTAATAACTTACATAATTCTGCAACAAAGCATTCATAACCCAAAATCATGGTAACTCACAAAGTGCAAGTCTATTCACAGGAATTTTTCCCAAAGGACTTGTCTGAACCCATGATCACACTAACTTAGGGGGAAAGCATGAAAACTTAGGAGCTAGCCTGACTGAATGGCAGGAAGGACTCACAGATAACGGATGTGTGCTTTAGAAAGAGCAGGGTTAAGAACTCGGTAAGGGTTCTCTCCATGGAATGAGCAAGAAAATCATGACTTATATAAAGGGCCATGATTAGGCCTGAGCAGAGGCTAGAAGTAGAAAGAAAACAACTGCTTATCAAAACATTGCCACTAGGCTTCCTACACACTAGGAAGTGAGTTAGTTACCATATCCAATTCCCCAACTGCTAGCTTTTCACAACAGCCTCACCCTCTCTTCCTGTCTCCCCAGGGCCCCACCGGAAACCAGCAAGTGAGGCTGGTGGTGTTTTGTGGGTTGAGAGCTTCAGCTTGCATCCAGAGCCCTAAGTAGGCAGGGCTCTGTCCTAGGCCTCCACTGGTATCTCTGCATACTGAACAAAGCTGTATGCTCATGCATGTATATACACGGACACCCACATCAGCAGCCTCCAGCACCTGCTAGAACAGTGGTTGCTGGGGGTTCCTGCAGCCTCACAGGCAGATGGTATCAGGGGACAATCAGCAAACATTGCCCACCTGAGCCACATGATGGCTGCTGGTCAGCTATGGCTCTAGAACTTCTTTGGGGGAAAAACAGTTGCTCAAATCTCACTCTCCATCACAATGTGGCCTATGACTGTGTGCACACAAATTTCCCCACCTTGATGCAATGTGATATCAGTAACACAACAGACAATTTTGTCAAGTGGTGATTCCAAGAAATTCAGTGGGTCAGGGGTGACACGCTCAGTACTTACTTAACTAATGGCACAAAGCTGGGGAAAGGTGAGGAAGGGCAGAGGTTGTAAGACTGGGAGAGCAACTAGATAAAGCCCCAAAAGCCATGGTTCTCAGGAATGCTCATTGTCCAGTGTGTCAACGCAGTATACCATGAGCAGCTGGCTGGGAAGAACTGATCCAATCAAGAGCAGGTAGGGCTGAGCTCCAGCAGCAGAAGGCTGGCCCATAAACCACAGATTCCTTCATTTTCCCAGTGATTATTTACATCTGTCAAACAGAGGCCCAACGCTAAGTGAATTTCTTTTTTTTTTTTTAATATTGTTTTTAGTTGTAGATGGGCACGATACTTTTTTTTTTCTTTAATGCAGTACTGAGGATCAAACCCAGTGCCTCACACATGCCTGGCAAGTGCTCTACCACCGAGCTCCAACCTCAGCCCACTGAGCTACAGCCCCAGAACCTGAATTTCTTAAGTTGCTTCTTGGATAGAAGGAGGGAGGAGACAAAACTTAAAATATGTCCCACATTTTTCTCTTTTTTTGAATTTTTTTTTTTTTTTTTTTTTTTTTTTTAGGTATTAACGGACCTTTATTTTATTTATTTATGTGCGGTGCCGAGAATGGAACCCAGTGCCTCACACATGCTAGGCAAGCACTCTACCACTGAGCTCCAACTCCAACCCCCCTCCCTCACATTTTTCTTTTTGAGAAAAACCAATCAAGTATATGGATGCGATACTGAACGGTGCAGGCTCCTCCCTCAGACACCTGGACTCAATGTCATGCCACCCAAAGACAACACCTTTCTCCAACTACCCCTTCCCAGGGGGCGGGGGAAGGGACCTGTCTTGTTTAACACCCTATCATCCACCAATTTACCAGGCTGGAAAAGTCACCTTAACCCCCCTATATAATCAGTCACCCAGTCTGGCTTTATCTACTTCCTTAATCTCTATTTCTCTCTATTCTTCCTCTATGGCCTTAAAAATATAACTACCAAGCAAAGAGACTTAAATAAACATTTCTCCAAAGAAAATATACAAATGGCCAACAAGCACATAACAAGTTGTTCAACATCATTAGTCATTAGAGAAATGAAAATCAAAACCACAATAAGGGCGAGGTTGTGGCTCAGTAGTAGAATGCTGGCCTGCATGCGTGAGGCACTGGGTTCGATCCCCAGAACCACATTAAAAAAAAAAAAAAAAACTAAATAAACAAAATAAAGGTACTGAAACACATAATGAGATATCCCTTCAAACCCAATAGGACAGCTAGAATTTTTAAAAATGGAAAATATTGATGAGGATGTGGAGAAAACAGAACCCTTATACAATGCTGTGGGGAATGTAAAACAGTACAGGCCCTATGGAAAACAGTATACAGTTCCTCAAAAAGTTAAACATAGAACTACCATATGACCCGCAATTCTAGTCCTAGGGAGGTTCTCAAAAGAATTGAAAGCAGGAACTCAGACAGATGCTTGTATGCCTATGTTTACTGTAGCATTATTCACAACATTGAAAAGATAAAAGTGAGCCATGTGTCCATGAACAGGTAACCAAGATGTGGTATATCTATACAATGGAATATTATTCAACCTCAAAAGAAATAAAGTTCTGATACATGCCACAACTTGGATGAGCCTAGAAAACATGTGAAGTAAACCAGACACAAATGCACAAATATTATACATAATTCCACTTACATGAAATATCTAGATCTAGAATAGGCAAATTCATACAGACAGAAAGTAGATTAGAGATTACCTAGGAGTGGTGGGAAGGGAATGAGGAGTTTGTGTTTAATGTTTACAGGGTATATGCCTGGAGTGATGAAAAAGTTTTGGAATTAGTGGTGAGAGTTGTGCAACACTGTAAATGTAATCAGTCCCACTGACTAAACACTAAAATTTGCTAAAATGGCAAATTTTGTTTTATGTACACACTCACACACAAAAGAAAAAACTCACATAAATGGTATCTAACATCTGAATGTATACCTGCTCTAAGAGCTTTACCTGGATAGCAATTTTTCATCCACACGATAGTCCTACTCACAGAGACATAAAACCAAGACACACAGTGTTAAGGAAACAAGTAGGAGCCAGAACTGAAGCCTAATCTGTCCAACTTTTGACCTTATCTCATAACCAAGCTTCTCTGAGTCCTGCCTGGATTATGATAATGCCTCCCCACCTTCAGTCTCTCCCCTCCCAGTTCAGCCTCTTCATTGCCACAAGGGACGCTCCTAAAACAAATGTCTGCTCCTATCATCTACCTAATGAAATCATACTTGCTTCCAGAAGACCCAGGCCAAGTTCTTTCATTCAAAAACTTATCAAATCACAGTAAGCCACAAGTCCCTGTGTCTGCTTCTGGCTAAAAATATCTGGCATGCATGCTGCCCCATGGTACCAATTATCATGCAAATACAAGTTGGCTCAATACCTTAATGTTCACAGAATTCTGATGCCATGGGCTCCTATCTGTGTACTTTGAAAATGGGTGATGATGTTAACAATGATATGGCCTTACACTGGCAAAGGCTTATATAAATTGAAGTGCTTTTATAGATATTTTTCACTTGTTCCTTCCAATAACTTTATCAGGGAAAAAAATCTGGTTTTGCCAGCCATATATTTTTATACACAAGAGTAGTGAGAGGCAGTCAAAGAAGACACAAGTGCAGACAAGGCCACAAAACTAGTTAGGGGCAGAGCCAGGCTTGGGACCAAACTCTGGGCCTTCAAAGAAGAGCTCTCCTACATCTCACCTCCCTGAGAAGAGACAATGTCACCTGAAGTCACTCTACCAGCGGCTCCAGTGGGAACCATAGCTTTCCTCCATGTTTAAAG